CGTATGACTCCATAACTGGGGGATGGAGCACAGTGGCACACAAACCAGTTTATACTAAGTAGAAGTTAAAAAAGGGATGGAAAATGTGAAAGCTAATAAGGAAATATAGTCACATGCCAACAAAGAGAAAAAGATACATCTGAAAATAGTGTCACAGAAGCAGATAAATTTAAATTGGAGATAAAGTCCTGCTGGTATTATTTATGGGCAGGACTCTGTTGTTTTATAGTGGAAAAAATGTAAAAAAAACCCCAGTAATGAAGTTCATTAGCAGGAAACTGCTTTTTACTGTCCCTTAAAAGCCACACAATTCTGCAATATCTTTGTGAATGAGGGTCTGATCTCATCCTACACAGAGCTGTTGGCCGTAGGACTCAGCAGCAAGTGGGCTCGTAGCAAACCAGGGATTATGAGGCTGAAGCAATGTTTAACTCAAGTTACTACTATTTTAATAATTAGCTAACAGCCTGTTCCCACACTTGGAAGGGCATGTTCTGCTTTGGTGGCATGCAGTGTGCCCCCTCTTTTCATTACTCCAGCATTAAAAATGCACTGATTTTCAGAACTGACCTGCAAGTGGCTGTTATATGGGTCTGACCTTCCTGTTCATCTCACCAGAAGAAAATGATTAAGTTGAGCACATTTCCAAATAAAATGGAAGATGAATTTGTTTCTGTGAAATAGTACTGAGTGAACCTTTGTGGTCAGAAAGGTCTGTTGGCTGATAGGAGAGCCAAGACTGCCAGGTGAAAGCACAGAGCAGAGGAGGGCAGGTTTGCTCCCCAAGTGGAGGAGGAGATTATTCTTTTCTTGATAAAACCATCTCATTTTCTCCCTGCTGGAGCAACATGCAATGAAGTTGTGTCAAAATAATACACACAATACTGTGCTCTTTGATTGAATCCAAACTATGAAGTCCATCCTGTGAATTTTATTTTAATAGATTTTTTCCCTTTTATTTTTCTTCCTCCCAACTATTCAAGATAGTGAAGAAAGACCAGAGGAGTCTGCTTATTTCTCCCAGCAGTTGGCAGTGATGTGCGGCTAATAATTTTCCCTATGATTTTACTAAGCTTTGGATTAAATCCACTAATGTGCTGTCTTAAGTAGGGAATATTCAGCTTTGTTCTGCTTTGCCTGATTCAGAACTGGGTGTTGAATATGGCTCTTTCATCTTCAGCAAAGGCAGAGACTTGCTCTGTGGCTGCCTGTATATGTAAATGTGTATCCAAGTGAGACAGGTCTGATAAAGAGGGAGAATTGTGGTCTCATCTATGGAATTTATCTCTGCCATCCTCTGGAATTGGGTTGCTGATACCTGTCTGTTTTGCTGTCTTGAAAATTGTTTTGGGAAAGCTTTCCAAAAGGAAATTCTGGTGTTGGGGACACATTTTATTTGTGTTGAAGTGCATATTTTTGAGTGAACAAATAATAACTTTGCTTCAGAAGAGCATTCCCTCTCTGGGGTGCCTGCAGTCAGTCACTAAGTCTGGCCACACATGGTTATGCCCTTGACAGTGGGCATAAATGGGGTTAATTGTATGGGGACCAGGTTCAGTGACTGCATTTTAAAAAGCTCTCAGTAAGTTATTAAATCAGCAAGAGAGCAGCACTGAGGCCCAGCAGCTGCAGAAGTTGTGTGCTGTGGTAAACCTATGTGTGTAAAATTTCTCTCTAAAAAGATTTCAGCACTTCACATGGCCTCTGCTAATACTTATTTTTAAGTGAGACTTTGTGTCAGCTGCCTCAGCTCCACACTGCCGAGGGCTGTTCTCAAGTCTGGACTGTTTTCCGGTCAGCATGAAGTGCCCTGATATGAACTGTTGACTTGTCTTGATAGTTTTTGTTGGCACAAACATAGCAATGAGCCAACTGCAATGGCAATGCAGCCATGCTTTCCACCAGCCCTTGGGTGTATTTTCCAAGTGCTGAAGCCAGTGACCTGGCTGAATTGAGATCTAAGAGAGTCCTTTCATGCATACTACAGAAAAATACCTCTTGTAGTGGTTTTTTTTTTTAACATATATAATCTAATAGGCAGCAGGATATGAGGGTTTGAAGAGAAGGTGTGGGTGTGATCAGTTGGCTGGGATGTTTGGGATGCTGTCTGTATCACATAGGGACACAGGTGTTAACACCTTAAATGTTTTACACATAGTCTCTACTATATATATATATCTCTATATATACACACACACTGTAAGTATATATATGTATATATATACTACTATCAAGTACTATTCTCCTTCTTGCCACTGCAGATACACCTGAAAGTAGTAGAGTTAGGTAAAACAACTACTTTTTCGAGTGTATCACATAGGGACACAGGTGTTAACACCTTAAATGTTTTACACATAGTCTCTACTATATATATATATCTCTATATATACACACACACTGTAAGTATATATATGTATATATATACTACTATCAAGTACTATTCTCCTTCTTGCCACTGCAGATACACCTGAAAGTAGTAGAGTTAGGTAAAACAACTACTTTTTCGAGTGTGCTGTCCTCTAAGTGTTGAGCTTGAAACGACAGTATGGTCATCAAAATGCTGAATATCAACAGATGTCCTTTTCAACATTAGAGCTGGTCCTGTTCCAGTTCCCACAAGGCCTCAAGGTCCTTTTCTTAATGCAGTCCTCTATAATGACTGGCAAACTGAATGAAAGGCTTTTTGCTTGCCTAAAACTACACCAGTCATGACATGAGCAGTAAGTGCTGTTAGGAGCTCTCTGGTTGCCCAGGTCATTGGAAGCTGCTCCACACAGTGGAGCTAACAGGTGTTGTCCCATGCAATGTGCCATTTTCAATCCAGCAAGAATTAAATTGTTTTGTATTTGCACAGACTCAACTCTCTTTGTTTTAGAGTCTAAAAGAACAACTTGCAGCATATGCTCTGCAGAGGTGGCTGACTGGAGCTTATTAATCACATTCTCTTTCCAGGACCAGTCAATGAAGGAGAGACTGACCTTCCATATTGCATTGGACAAATGAAATATTAAAGGAATGAGAAAATATACCTAATAAGAAAAGCACATCAAGGCTGGCTGCACCATGCCTCTTAGAAGAATACACACTCCTTAGCATAAGCATTGCAGAAATTCTGGTGAAAATACAGCTTTTCACATGCAAAAGACCTTTTCCATTCAACTGCTGTCAGCGAAATGAATAAACCACTGCAAATGTAACCTGCTTACCATACCTCTTTGACCCATGATGGACAGAAACAGTCATGCTGGCTGATTAACAAGGAGAGCCAAATCCTTCTCTCCTACACAACTTAGAGGATCACAGGCACCTGACCCACAGCTATAGCCAAATTAAGGGTAACTCTTCCTGTTCAGAATATTTCTAGGAAGGAACAAGCAGGTTAATCATACCTAGTTACTCTCCATTGCTGCCACTAGTAGAGCAAACTCTTATTTTCTAGGGTTTCAAATTCCAAATGGAGAGTAAAGTGAAGCCTGTGAGAAGACTTAAGCCTAAAGAAGAGTTCTGTGTTGTAAATTGTCTATCAGGACCTACACTAACCTCTCATGGTTTCTTCTTTTTTGTAGGCAACATCTTTGTTGTCAGTTTGTCCGTCGCAGACCTCGTGGTTGCGGTTTATCCATACCCTCTGATCTTGAGTGCCATTTTCCATAATGGATGGACCATGGGAAATGTTCACTGCCAGATAAGTGGGTTTCTGATGGGCTTAAGTGTCATCGGGTCCATTTTCAACATTACAGCTATTGCAATCAACCGCTACTGCTACATCTGCCACAGCCTTCGGTACGATAAGCTCTTCAACCTGAAGAACACCTACTGCTATCTCTGCCTGACTTGGATTCTCACAGTGGTGGCAATTGTGCCAAACTTCTTTGTTGGTTCCTTGCAGTATGACCCCCGGATTTACTCCTGCACCTTTGCCCAGACGGTGAGCACATCATACACCATCACAGTGGTGGTGGTTCACTTCATCGTCCCACTATCCGTTGTGACATTTTGCTACCTACGGATCTGGATTTTGGTGATTCAAGTCAAACACCGGGTGAGACAAGACTGCAAGCAGAAACTCAGAGCAGCTGACATCCGAAACTTTTTGACTATGTTTGTGGTTTTTGTCCTTTTTGCTGTGTGTTGGGGACCATTAAACTTTATTGGCCTTGCTGTTTCGATTAATCCTTCAAAAGTGCAGCCACACATTCCAGAATGGCTTTTTGTCCTGAGCTACTTTATGGCCTATTTTAACAGCTGCCTCAATGCTGTGATCTACGGGCTTCTTAACCAAAATTTCCGGAAGGAGTACAAAAGGATACTGCTGACACTGTGGACTCCCAGGCTGCTGTTCATCGATGTGTCCAAGGGTGGGACAGAAGGGATAAAAAGCAAGCATTCTCCAGCCATAACAACCAACAACAACCATGCTGAAATACACTTATGAGTCAGGACAGTACTATTTATTCTGGATTACAGTTGTATATATAATGTATTAGAGGCTTTCTAGCTGTGTTGCTGGGCCCCTCATGCAAGGAAAAAGTCTGCTACCTTTCATGCTTAGCTTATCGCTGTGACATCAAGGCTTTGAGTAAGGATTTACATGATGGAAATGGCTGATCTTTATATGATTTTGTTTTTCATATGCCATCTTTCACTGGGTGCCTAATTAATCGATTTGGTTGCTTTTGCCACGAGCATGCCGATACCTGAAAAAGGAAGCGTTCAGAGTGCATGGAGAAATGCAGTTATGCTTGAAATGCAACCTTCAAGAGACAGTAAAATTGCCATTTATCACACACAAACCTTTTTCCCCTCCCTATGAATTCTATTTTTCTAGCATTAACTTAACCCAAACTACAGTAAACAGTGTAAACTGCGTGGCTTTTTACCTTTTAGTTAGGTAACTGTATTAGCCAACAGGTGTACGTATGGGCACAGTGACTTCCACTGTGTATGCATTCACTTTCCTTTTTCTTTTCTCTTAGGGTTTAGAAGCTAGCCTGGACTAGATGTGAGGCAGGCAGAAGCCAGACCAGTGAGTGTCTGATGCACTCATTTTAATTGAATATCTACAGATATTGAGTATCCTTGCACTCTCCTTCCCAGGCCATGAGTAAGAATATAACATACAACATAATCTAATTGGAGGAAGATACTTGGAACCTGATTCTAATTTAGGCAGTATCCTGTCATGGCCAGAATTCGTTCCAAATGTCTTTCAGAAGCCACTGCTACATGAACATCATAAATAAAAAGATGAACATAGCAGAGTCCCATCAGTGCAATGCAGATGCTGGCTTTTAAGTTCCAGCAACATTTACACTTGCAGACAAAGGGAGAACGGGAAGTCAGTGTTTGTTCAAAAAGTCCCCCCTCTCGCCCACCATAGAACATGAATTTTCTGGGGGGGAGAAAAAAGTAGTGGAGACTTTTTTCCATTTTATTCATGTACAGAACTGTAATTAACTCATGGAACTGGGAGAGGAAAGCTACTTAAGCATAATTATGCATCAGTTCTGTTAAAGCCAGAACTGTGTTGTCTGTATCATTGGAAACAGTGTCCTGAAGTACTGAGGAGGCCAGTATCACATTAGAAACAAGCACATGGGCAAAGATAAGGGTGTTTCTTTAACGGGGTGGGGTGGGGGTGTGTGTGTGTGACAGCAGATGTCTGTAAATATGATTACTTTTCTGTTTCCTTAGCTTCATTGTGAATTCATCTCTTTATAGTTTTAAATATGTGGATCCTGCTTTGAAACAGCTCCAAAAAATCACAGGTAAAACTCCCCTGGTGCAACTCTACCTTCAGGCCAGCACACCTGGCTTGATGTGAGTGTCTTGAGAGGCACAGCAGGGATAGGAGCAGGTCTGAGCCCCAGGGGTCTAACAAGGACAGCAGGCAGCCCTGGTCAAAGACTGCAGTCTTCTCTCTTTGGTTCTAGTCAAAGCAGGACTAGTTCCCAGGGCTGAACCCTGAAACACTGAGACCAGCAGCATGTAGGTGCCTGGAGATGGAGGTATGTAGGATTTCCCAAACCCTAAGCAGGCAGTGTGCCTAATCCTGAGTGAAGATTGGAAACCATTTGTGTATTACTTGCTGAAAGCAACTTGCTGCTGAATGTTCCTTCTGCTGATTTTTTGGGGGGAAGAGAAGCTGAGTGAATTTAAGCCCCTTTACAAAGTGGGCCAAGAAACTTTGCATGGTGTGTTGCCTCTGTGAGGTCTTCAGTGTGCCTGCTGCCATGTGGTGAAGGTCACTGCAGTGTCAGGAGGTTCCTGCATTTATAGGGTGCCCTGGCACTTTATGAAGTTTCAAACTTGAATATCTCAGCCACTTCAGATGATTGTTGTTTTAAAATGCACTGCAGCCAGCCTCCCATAATAGGAATCAAACTGAGTTCTGTTTTGGCCTCTTAATCTGCTTGAGCATGGCCAAATAAAGGTATTTTGACCCTCGGAAATAACGTGGTCTGTTTGCCTTCCAGAAAAACCACTCTGGATGAATTCACACCATTCCATGCAAGCAAAATCATTTTCAGTTAAGCTTGGATAAGAAAAGCACTGAGGAATCCATAACTGCATGGAGTGTTTGTCCTCTTGTGCCAGGGAGATGTCCCGTGTTCCATGACTAGTCTTCAAAGTCATTTGCAATTAGCCACAACAGTGTTAGTTAGAATCAAATTAGCAAATAATTTGAAGCATCTAATTCCAAGTGAAATAAAATCCTTTATGACAATCATGAAGAATCTTGTATAGGTTTGCCAAATATCTTAAATACCCTAAAACTGGGGTTTCATCTTATGGATCCTTGTCTTTCTAACTGAATGTTCAGTGAAGGCTGTGGGATATTTTTTGTTTTGTTTAAGCTTGTATTTGCACTATTTCTTATTCAGGCTCCAAAGTAACAACCAGCGAGTATTTGAACCAAACCAAGTCCAAAGAGGTCCTGAACAGGCAAGCTGTAAGAGTCCCTGCTACATGTGATAGGAAGGGGAGCAGCAGGAGCATGATAGGACATCTCCCCCGGACTCACAAACCAAACTATGCAAAATGACAGGAGGATCTGCTCATCTTCTGCCATAGGATCTGAGCTGAACTCCTGCCCATCCATGTCTTTGCAGGGGACAGGCTAAGTACCTGCTGAGCAGTTCCCTGCAGGTGCAGACCCCACTACCACCCACAGGGTGGGGATGGGTCTGTGATAGGCACCATCCCTCTGACAGCACCAGGAGCTTGCCCTGGCACAACCTGTTCAGAAGGGCTCTGGGTGTCCCAGTGAGGGTGCCCAGAGCTGGGCTTATTCAGCCACCATGGTTGGAGTCCTGAGCTCAGTCCTGCTGGAGCTGAGGTTTGTAATATGAACGGTGAAAAGCAGGGAACGTGGCCTCAAACAGAAAACACTGTGCCATGTGCTCGCACTTTGACAGAGGCAGCGCTTAGGATAGATAGAGTTTTATATTGGCTTATTTTAAAACTACCCAAGCAGCTCCTTATTTTTATGTTAAGAAATGGTTAACAGGGTACAGAGAGTTTATTTTTGTTAACATTTGTTTACAGAAAAAGGGAAGTGTGTTTTAAAGGGGAATCTTGAGCAGTGTCGCAGTTTCCCTATGGGAATCTAGCTTTAATCCAAATCAGAGATTTCAAGGAGATCTTGCAGCTTAAATGCCAATTCCACCTATTGCATACCTAGCCTTAAGTCTCATTGAAATCTCATATAAACTAGTTTTAAACCACTTGCTCTGGATTTGACCTGGTGGTGTTGAATACCTATTCTAGCCCCAAACTCTAAAATTGTTGTAGTGGAAACTTAGGGAGAGGCAGTATTGCTGTGAAGGAAGATGAATCTCTTGCCACAAAGAAATATTTTTGGATGTTGCTAATGAATGTTGTTTAATCTATTTAAGAAGAATGTAACCAATATATTTATATATAAATGTATATTGCATATGCTGTTTCCATGTTATCATTTAATTAAGAATCCTTCAGCATAATTTCCTATTGCTATTTTTGTTCATAAAGTAGATTCATTCCCTTTACCTGTTAAACTGTAATGAATCTGCCATTGGACTACTTACTGATATTTTTTCCACTTGCAGTTATTTTTTAATAAATATTTGGAACAACAGCTTGGGTTTTGTTGACAAATATAATTGAGTTCAGACATATCTCAGCTGCCCAGCTCAGACCTGGAAGTGAATAACCCAGGGCATCTGAGACATGTCCTTGGATTCACGTGTTTTCTTCCAGCTGCCTCTGTTCCAGCTGCCTGGTGCATTCTGGCCTTCCTCATCATGAAAGAAACTTTCTCCACACTGCTGTTGGTCTCCTCGCTGTGTGTGCCTCCAAGGCTCTTTGCCTTTCTTGTGCCTATGTCTGTCCATCTGCTATGGAAGCAGAGTGTGTCATGTCTATTTCCTTGCCCTACAGCCTGGGAAGGAAAGCATAGCCAAGCTATGAACAGGAGGGTGTAGGAGCTGGGGTGGTCACAAGTCAAGCAGGTGGCATTGGGTTGTAGGGGAGGGTTGGGAACACAAAGTCACCCTGGGCTAGAGGCACAGTGAGGGCTGACACACACTTGGTCTCCATTGAGGAGCTTTGTGAGGATGAGGACTGCTGTATCCAAGATGTTCTATTTGTGGTCTTTTCCCCACCTCTGTTTTGGAGCAGATTTTGCTGTATTCATGCAGTCCTTCAGACAATAGGTTCTGTTCATAGGTTGCACCAATTATATTTCCATGCTGACTTGACTGGAGCTGTTTTTTGGGGAGTCTCAGTACTGCTGCCAAAGCAGGGGTAATGGGAGTATGGAGTGGTTGAGTTGTAACTGCAGCTTGAGCTCCTGTTTCCTATCCAGATGTAATGTGTAACCATGGTGTTAAGGTAGTAAAGGCTGAGGTTATCCATTAAAACAAAGAATTGGTGAAAAACCATGGAGCAGACATGTCGAATGAACAAGCAGTCTTCATTCTATGACATCCCTGAGCAGTTCTGCTACTTGTTTTGCTAATCTTTTCCAACAGGCACTGGACTTCACCTGCCACTTCCATAGTAAAGTCTGCAATGCTCAGTGATGTGACACTCTGAAAGCAGTGTTTATAATAGCTGCAGATGCCAAAATGTCTCTCTGAACAGAGATGCTAGAAAACCCTTGCATGGACTTGTACCTGCTGTTTCTACCACGTGGAACAGAATGGATTGAACTGTCAGAAGTGAGCCAATGTTATTTATGTACTTACTTGCCACAAAGTTTAGTAACTGGGAGATAAGGTAGAGCTATGAAAGACAAGAGGTGCAATAATTCAATACCAGAATAAAATCTCATTCATGGTGACGATTTAGAAATCAATATTCATCCTGATGTATTTACTTCCCAGCTAATAATTTATAGCATAAAGCCAGCTGGTAAAGAGCTACTGCATATGTATTTAGAATTTTATTGGAAAAATGTAAATTACTGGACCTAATGCAATATTTCTTACCATAAAAACCCTGAGATAAGAAATGCAGAATGGGTTCTTGCAAGAACTCTGTGATGGTATATGCAAATTTTTTTCATTGGTGATAAGAAACATAAAATTTGTATCACTCCTGAACTACAGTTGTGAATGAAAGCTCCATAATATTGTTAACTGAATTTTCA